TACGCCGCCTACTGGCGCGACAACCTCGAGGGCAGCGAGTGGGGCCCCAGGTGCTGGAGCTACCGCAACAACTGTTGGATGTACATCGCGGAGAACAACCCCAGCCCCATCATGGACTTCAGCCCCGAAGATGCAATATCTGTAGCCAGGAAGATGAACGTTTGGACGGCCCATGGTGTCCGATAGGCTTGGACCTCGCGATTTTCTTCGTCTGTCCGACGAATGCTCGGTGGCGCTGGATGCCTCGTGGAGCTGGATGCTCCGAGACGGGATGATTCCGTCGCAGATTTCGCTTACTTTGCAGACAGCTTTGCCGACGCCAGATGGTGATGGTCACAGGCTCATTGCGTTTCTCAGTATGACGGTACGGTTGTGGAGCAGATGCGTTAGAAACGTAGCAGCAACGTGGGGGCAGGAGAATCAGATAAGTTTTTCATATCGGGCGAAAGGGAACACATGTCAGAGAGCGGTTTGGGAGCGAGCGTTTGCAGCAGAGCATGCGACGATACATCGTTATGCTGTTGCGAATGTGCTTGTTGACCTTACCAAAGCGTACGAGAAGGTGAGGCACCTTCAGCTAGTATCCGCTGCTCGGTAGCACAGTTTCCCCTTGTACCACCTGCGCCTGTGCCTGGTCGTCTATGGCTGCCCGCGCGTGCTCCTCATGGGCCTCCTCGTTTTCAGGCCCTCAGTGGTGTATGCAAGTATTTTGGCAGGATGCGGATATGCAGCGACCCTACTGGGGGTCCTTCTAATCGCTGATCTGGATAATGTGGTTCGGGAACACCGCCTGTGCAGATTCTTTCACGTGGTTGATGACATCGCGATTCAGGTTATTGCAGCTGCCAAGTTAGTCCGGGACTCGGCCGTTAAGGCCACGCGTGACCTCTGCGACTGGACCGAGACCAGGCAGTTCATTATTTCTAGAAGTAAAGGTAAAGTTGTGGCCTCGACTGCTGAACTATCAGCTGGTACTTGTGCTGGGCTTAAGAAGCGGCGATTCAAATCGGAGCACTCGGTTTGGAATCTTGGTTGCGATTACTCGATTCGGGGTCGGGCTGCTCGCGTCCAGAAGAATCGGACTCACAGGATCAGATTGAGGGCTGGTCGGTATCGTTCGCTCAAATCCCAGTTCAAAGAGTTAACGTCGGTCTCGCGCTAGGGCGCGCTTCCCGCTGGCAGTTACGGCACGGGTGCTATGTTTTTCTCTGGCGAACGCATGCAGTGCCTCAGATCAGCCGTGGCGGAGGGCTTTTTTGGTCCAGCACGAGGGCGCGCTAGAACCATTCAGTTCGCTCTCGCAGGCAACGAGGCTTCTGACCCAGTTTATATCGGCAAAGCTTTCTGGGGCTCGTGGGCCCCGAAGCAGCAGATGGAACAGGTCTTCAGGTTTTACCGCCAAAAGTTTCCTGGGCTGTCTTGGTCCGAGGTCAGAGGTCCTACGGGGGCTGTTCTGTGCACGCTTCAGAGGACTCGATGGGTTCCTGAGAGTTACTCCAAGTGGTTTATGCAGACTGAGATGCCGATGCACCTCTGCAAGCTGAGGAGTTACAATCACAAGCGCCTTGTGGACAGAGCAACTAAGGATCGTTGCTGGGGCGACCTGCATTGGAGGCGCGGCAGCGTCGCCCACTCCAGGCCCCATGCTGGAGCCCGTTGCCCAGGTCTGCGAGGAGCTCAGGAAGAAAGGAGAGGCCCTGGAGGCCTCGCTGCTGGCTACTCCTGTTTCTGGAGGTTCGGTCACGCAGCTGGAGCTATGTCAGGGTCGTCGGGTTCGGAGCGGGGCTTTCCAGCTATGTGGTTTCCCCCAAGGGGGTAGGTTTCATCGGATTTTTGTTTGTCCTGGAATTTTTTTTTTTCGCCGAGGCCAGGGTTTTGAAAAAGGAGCTGCCTGAATGGGGGCGCGGGGGCCCTCGACCCTATCCTCGCTCGGTGCTTCCTTGCCTCCCCCACCTTCAGGTCCCCCGTTCCCAATGCTCTGGGCAGGTGGAGGTGGGCCGTTCCCCCGCCTGACGGTGTCGTATCCGGTGAGATTTGCTCCGACGGTTCAGTTTTCGAGCCCAAGCTGCGGCGCCGCAGCAGAGAGGGTTGGGCTTTCGCCATGATGAGTGAAGTTGGAGATCTTTTGGCTAGCGCGTCTGGTCCGTTCCCTCACCCCGACGCAGGACATTTATGGGGCTGAGCTCAATGCCGTTCTTATGATCCTCAGGCATGCTGGACCTGGCGATCTCGAATTAGGAGAAGACCGTGAAGCTTTGATTTCAGGTTGGTCCCGAGGGTGTCTCCAGGACTGTGCTGACTTGGCCTTCGGTGAATTCTGGCAAGAAGTTTTTGCGCGGCTTTTGGACCGAGGCCCAGAAACGGTGAAGTTCTTCAAGGTTCCTGCTCACAATAGTAGGACACAAACAGCTGCGCTAGGTTGTCCAGCCTGGGCGTGGCACGGCAATCGTGCGGTGGACTTCCTTTCCAAGAAGGCCGCCAGCGAGGTCCCACACTCGAGGCGCCTCCTGGAGCTGGAGGCCAGGCAGGCCGACCGGCTTGCTTCCCTCGCTCGCTTCACTGCAAGAATGCTTGGGCAGTGGGTTGTGCAGCGTTTTCCGGGTGTGGAGTTTTGTAAGGCTAGGCCCAGGGCCAAACGTGAAGGGTTGCTCATAGCGCCGAGCCCGAATGGTCATCAGGTCCAGCACTGTGGCAAAGGTTTTGTGTGTAAGATTTGTCTGTCCCGCTCGCGGACATACGCGGGCCTGGTCTTAATGTGCTGCACGGGAATACCCAAGATAAGTCGCCAGGCGCACTCGACCCATCGTCTCCGGGGGAGCATCGAGTCCGCCCAGAATTTGCGCGTTTAGTATTGTGCGGTGTGTCGGGGGTTTGGCAGAGCGGTCGGCCAGCGAACAGAGACGCTGCCCACAGTCTGTCCCTCCTGAAGCGGGGGGTGCACCCATCCACCAAGGCATATTTCGGCCGCAGCATCCCCGTCCAGAGAGGCTGAGATGTTGTGTTTCCCAAATTTTGTCCCCACCCTGTCCCGCTTCGCTCTCTTTCTCTGCTGCTGGTCTCACCACGGGGGAGCATGCAGTTCAAAGGCTGAAAGGCTGAAAGGCTGAAAGGAGGAGGAGGAGGAGGAGGAGGAGGAGGAGGAGGAGGAGGAGGAGGAGGAGGAGGAAGAGGAGGAGGAGGAGGAGGAGGAGGAGGAGGAGGAGGAGAGGCATCAGCAACTGCTCGTCCCTCCCACCACCTGCAGCTGCCGATCCTCCCTTGCTGCCTCCTCGCTTTCCTTTTGCTTGTCCTCCTTCTCCTGCTCCTTCATCTCCCCCTCCCCTCCTCTGATCTCTCCATCAATCTTCGACCTCATCCTTCTCATCCCTCCACCTACCTATCCCCCTTTCCCCGTCCTCCTGTCCCTCTCCCTGCCCGTCCTTCTCCCCCTCCCTCCCCTCCGCCCAACAGGAGGAGGGCAGAGCACCGGGCGGGAAAACCCTGAAGCACCTCGCTCTCGTGTACAACGTGGTCGCCAAGCGAGCGATGCCTTTTCGCGTGCACGCGTGCTCGCGCTCGTCCCCGTCCCTCCGTCGTGTGCCTCCTTCCATCCTCCGCCCCCGCCCTTCCCCCTTCTCCCTTCGCTCCTGGGACTATCTACGGTCAGGGGCTTTGGCTTCATGCGTCGCTCCGCTGGCTCAGACCCGCTACGCTTCGGCGCGACACGCTATCCACGTCACGGTCTCCAGGCGTCGCCGTCCCGAGCCTTTCCCAGCCTCCCGCCCCGCGGAGCGGAGCGACACGCTATCCGACTGGAAGGTATCGCGCGTTGCCAGGGCCGCTGCCGCGACACGCTGTGCCAAGGTTCCCGACCGTGCGTCGTCACAACGTGGACCCGGAGGTATCGACCACCTCTCTGGTCGGGAGCCATGAGACAAGGGGTCAGTGCAAACGGGGGTCAGCCAGAACGCCGGATCTTGCAGGATCCTGCAGGGACAGGGTCGCACTGACCAGGGCCTGGGTGCAGGATTTTGCAGGATCTTGCAGGATCCTTCGCATTGAGTTGGGTTTGGGTGCAGGATATCTTGCAGGATCTGCAGGATTTTGCAAGGCCTGACTGACCCGGGTGTGGATTGACCCAGGTCAGAAGATCCCCGATCCAGGTCCGATTTTCCACCCCGAGCCGCTCCGGCGAGGGCCCCCAGAGGCCGAAGACGGCCAAGGACCTTCCAGCGTACAGTGAGGGGCGTGAATGAGGAACACTTACTTTTCAAAAGGGGCTCGGTCGTTCCGTAGGTTGGCATGCGCCATTTATCGTTCCTCATGCGCTATTCATTATTTGTCGTTCCTTATGCGTTACTCCTTGGGTAAATGGTGGCTTCGTTCCTTATTCATCGTTCCTTAGGTCAGGCCGATGACTGTACTTGTTCTTTCACGGAGAGATGGGCTCTCTGGCTGCCTCGGCAGATGAACTCAGTCTTGTTCGACGGGCGAGCAGCGACCAAGCTGGCGATATTTGGCCAGGCCAGAGCGGTGTCTGGTGGGCGGGGCGGTGCTTGGTGTCGTCCACGCAGCCGTATTCCGCAGCGGTGGCCGCGTGATCGCGCCGCACGGCCCGAATTTCTGGGGCCTGGCCTGCATGCCAAAGGACACACCAGTCATGCGACCACGTTCCAAAGAGCCCAAGAAGAGGGGCGGGGGTGGAGGGTTTCCCCGAAGGGCTCAGGCGACCCGTCCTCCTCCTTTTCTCGTCCTCCTCCTCCTCCTCCTCCTCCTCCTCCATCTCCTCCTCCCCCTCCTCCTCCCTCCTCCTCCTCCTCCTCCTCCTCCTCCTCCTCCTCCTCCTCCTCCCCCTCCTCCTCCTCCTCCATCTCCTCCTCCCCCTCCCCTTCCTCCGCCTCCGCCTCTTCCTCCTCCTCCTTCTCGTCCTCCTCCTCCTCCTCCTCCTCCTCCTCCTCGGGTCGCCTACGGCCCCGGGGGAAACCGTGCAGGGCGGGGGGCAAAAGCGCGCGCCTCTCCAGCATGCTGGTCTCCGTGCAGGCGCTGGTGCGAGCTGCCTCGCCCGTGGTCACCGGGTCGCTGCTCGTCTTCGGCCTGGGGCAGGAGACGCCAGCGAGGAGGGAAGAGGAGGAAGGAGGAGGTGCAGGAGGAGGAGGAGGAGGAGAAGGGAGGGAGGGAGGGATGGATGGAGGGGGGTAGGGAGGGAGGGAGGGAGGGAGGGAGGAGGAGGATGATGATGATGATGATGATGATGATGATGAGGAGGAGGAGGAGGAGGATCATGCTTCGAGGATTGATGTTCTAACAGACATTAGAGGATCGAGATCCGTGCGCGTTTTTCCATTATTTTCGGCCCTCCTGGAAGCGTTCCGTCGCTGCAGCTGAGTCGTCCTCGAGCTTCTCGTCAAAACTCTCCCCCAGAGTGGTTCAGGGGCATATCTTTGACGGGAGGAGGAGGGGGAGGAGAAGCAGGAAGAGGAGGAGGGGGAGGAGGAGGAGGAGGAGGAGGAGGAGGAGGAGGAGGAGGAGGACGAGAAGGCTCAAATACGTCAAGGAAAAAGCGACGTCGGAAGGGACGACAGGAGGCATGATGCCATCCAAGGGTCCCACCCCAAGAGCGTGCAGGACGTCGAGTTCCATGGGTGCGACGCCCAGAGGGGTGTTTGTGATGGTGGACTGCCAACCGCTGCAGCGCATCACTTTTGGACATCCTCCTTGCCTGGACTCATTAGTCTCGCAGTTAGTGTGTCGCACTTGCGATACTGTAATCACGTTTATGTTTTTTTGATGGTTTCTGCCTCATTTTTGCGCTGACCCTGTCGAGTTTCGTCGGACGTTATAACGTCATATCTAGCCACCTGGCAAACTACGCGATGGACGGGCAGAAGACGTGGTGTGTGAAGTTTGAGTGGCCTTACCCCACCATGTCGCAGCGCGTGTGCAGCCTGATCATTCATTCTGGCGGCGTTGCGCGTGGCAGAACATGCGATGCGTCGGAATGATCGTGGATATCACCTCCCGAAAAGGGGAAACAACAATTTATGTTATGGTGGGTGCTTCCCATAGCTACTGGAAGCATTCGTTCTCGTCTGACGCAGCCGCGCTGGCAGACTGCTTGACGTTTGTATGAGAGCTGCTGGGTAGGTGTGGTGTGTAACGTAGTCTGGTTGCTGGCGAGTGAGACTTCGAGCAGTACCCCACGTCCAATTTCAAGGATGGACTGGGGATCGAGGATGGAGGATGGGAGGGAGAAGAGAGGAGGCGAGTCCGAGCTTCACGGCTAAACCATCAGAGTTTGACAGCAAAACACGGTGGAGCTTACAGGGAGGGAAGAGGAGGGCAGCGGGAGGGTGGGAGGGAGGAGAGGAGGTAGAGAGGGGACGGGGGAACGGTATTCCTATGTCGGTGTCGTTCGTGCTTGCGCTTTTCGATCTTTCTCGTTTCCCATGCATACAATCCCTTCCGCATCCAATTCTTATGGCACCACTTCTTTTTACTGCGTGGTTTGTTGCCGTAGTCGTTGGCCCCCTGCTTTCAGGGAGGGCCTCCTGGCGCCGTGATGAGCTACCAACGTCGTAACGGTTGCGCTGCTACCCACCTTGCATGCACACTGTGATGCGGCGGAGGACACCACGAACAACTAAAAGGGAGGCTGTAGGATTTAGGAGTGAGGGAGGCAGGATGGCTTGGCGTGTGTGCCGTGGGACGCTCGCAGTTTCAATATTCTGACCGAGCACGTGGCGAATACTGCTCGGGATCAACAAAGAGCGTGTTGCGTCATCTGAGTTTTTTGCACACGTGTGCGGGGGGCGGGCATATGGGCGAGGTCGTGCTGGTATATTTCCATGTTCGGCAGCAGCGCAATCCTCAGCAGATGTGGGAACGACTTGGACATTGCCATTGGCATCTGTTGCGGACGCACTTTCTCTGGCATCCAGTCTCCCCTCTACACGGCGACGAGAGCTACGCATACACAGACCTTGGGCACGCTTTTCCTGGGCCCAGGATGGGGCTTGCCCAGAGCTGGTGTGTGTGTATACATATATATATATATATATATATATATGTGTGTGTGTGTGTGCGGGAGTGGGCGCTGGAAAGCACGTCAGGTGTTGGCGGATCCTCATTGCGCGGGTGCCGAAGTAAGGGAGAACGGATGGAGAAATGAGGGAGGGAGACGAGGGGGAAGGGTGCACGAAGTTAGGCGGAGGGAGAAGGGAGGACGGGGGAGGGCGGAGGAGGGTGGAAGGAGGGAGGAAGGGAGGAGGAGGGGGAGCAGGGAGGAGGAGGGAGGCGGGAGGAGATGTTATGAAATTTCACCCCGAAGTGCCCTGTACTGAATTTATCGATCGTCGATTCGCCCAGACTCTGGAGCTGGAATTGTGCCTGGTTCCGGGGCGTGCGCGAGGGACCGACGTGCTCGGCTGCTCCTGCCGAGGCTGCCCCTGCTCCCGCTCGCGCGCGCGCCCGTTGGCTCGCTCCTGCTGGTGCTCCGGCTCCCAACCCCACCTGCGGTTGTGTTTGCTGCTCTGCTGCCCCTCCTCCTCCCCCTGTCCCTATCCCGCTATCAACAGCGTCAGCTACACGCTGCGATTAAGCATTTCAAGGGTGCGGTTTCAGAGTGTGATTTTCATAATGTTGTTTATCCGCGGACTCGTCGGCGTGTGTGAGGAGACGCTCTTCCGTTTGAATCGTCGTCGTCGTCAGTCCTGAGGCGTTAGTCCCAAGGAATGTCAGGAACAATGAAATTCAAACACGTCGCAGTTCAGTCGACGGGGAGCCCCTTCCCTTTGATCCCTTCCCTGCGGGGGGGGGGTCCAGGGCGGGTAGGGAAGGGGTAGAAGGGGGGCGGTCACCGAGCATCAAAAAACCCCAAGATGGGCCAAGAGTGCCCCCAGAGGCCGCCCAGACGGTCTAAGAGGGCCCCGAAGTGCCAAACGATCGGTCAAAGACGCCCAACATAGCCTCCAGACAGCCCAAGGGGCCTCCAAGACGCCCCAAGAGGCTTCAAAGAGCACTCCCACCAGGGTCGCACGAGGCAAACTTAATTGAGGTATTCTTTCTGGTTATCCCCACATCCTGAGTGGGGTACTTGTTTTCCTGGAACGCTCTCTCCTTGTCCCTCTTCTCCCTACTACAACTACTACAACAACAACTACTACTACTACTACTACTACTCCTACTCCTACTACTACTACTACCTACTACCTACTACCTACTACCTACTACCTACTACCTACTACCTACTACCTACTACCTGCTACCTACTACCTACTACCTACTACCTACTACCTACTACCTACTACCTACTACCTACTACCTACTATGACTATCACAACAACAACTACAACTACTACTGCAACTGCGACCACGACTACGACTACGACTACGCTTAGGACTACGACTACGACTACGACGACGACTACTACTGCCACTCCCACTACTACTAGTATTACTTTTACTACTACTACTGCTACTGCTACTGCTTCTGCTGCTGCTACTACTACTACTACAACTACTACCACTGCGACTGCTACACTATTGCTACTACTACAACTGCTACTATTACTGATTGTTCCTATGATTACTACTACTACTATTACTACTACTACTACTACTACGACTACTACTGCTACTACTATCGCTACTGCTACTCATACTGCCACTGGTAGTAGTAGTAGTAGTAGTAGTAGTAGTGGTAGTAGTAGTAGTAGTAGTAGTAGTAGTAGTAGTAGTAGTAGTGGTACTGCTACTACTGCTACTACTACTTTGACTACTACTACTACTACTGCTACGACTACTATTACTACTACTACCACTACTGCTACGTCTTCGACTACGATTACGACTACGACGGCGACGATTGCGAAGACGACGTCGATGATAACGGCGAGTATTACTACTACTACTACTACCGCTACTACTACTGCTACTACTACTACTACTACTACTACTACTACTACTACTACCTCCTCTACTACTGCTACTACTACTTTCACTTCTACGACGACTACTACTACTACTACTACTACTAGTACTACTGCCACGACTGCGACTACGACTACGGCGACTACGACTATTACAACTACACCCTGCTACTTCTACTACTGATATCATTCGTACTACTACTACTACTACTACTACTACTACTTCTACTACTACTACTACTACTACTACTACTTGTACTACTACTTCTACGACGGACACGACGACGAACACGACGAAGACGACTACTTGTACTACTATTACTACTATTACTACTACTATTCTTACTACTACTACTACTACTACTACTACTACTACTACTCTTACTACTACTATAATACTGCTACTACTACTACTACTGCTACCTACTTTCACTGCTACGACTACTTCTACTGTTATCGTTGTTCTAGTTTGCTACTGCCACTATTATTCCTACCACTACTACTATTATTGATCCTTCTACTACCACCACTACTACTACTAGTACTACTACTACTACTGCTGCTACTTCGACGACGCCGACGACGCCTACTACTACTACGACTTCTACTGCTACTGCTACTACTACTACTACTGCTACTACTACTACTAGTACTGCTACTACTATTACTGCTACTACCACTACTACTAATACTACTAGTACTACTACTAGTTTTACATCTACTACTACTACTGCTACTACTACTATTACTACTACTACTACTATTTTTACAACCGCTACTATTACTACTACTGCATCATTCACAATTACTACTACCACTACTACTGCTACTACTACAACTATTACTACTACTATTAGTGTTACTGCTGCTACCCCTTCACTCCTCCTCCTCCTCCTCCTCCTCCTACTACTACTACTAACCACTAACATCTCCTAAGTACTTTTATTGCTACTATGAGCACTACTATTATTACTACTCTTACTACTACTACTACTACTACTACTACCACTTCTACTTCTACTACTTTTACTACTACTACTACTACCACTATTGTTAGTACTACTACTACTACCACTACTACTACTACTGCTGCTGCTGCTACTACTACTACTACCACTACCACTACCACTACCATTACCACTACCACTACCACTACTACTACTACTACTACTACTACTATTATTACGACGACGACTAGTACTACTACAACTACGACCACTACTACCATGACTATGATTACTTTCATTTTATAGTGGGTTTTATTATTATCATTGTTCTTATTCTGTCTTCTTCTCCTTCATCTACTACTACTACTGCTGCTGCTGCCGCTGCTACTACTATAACTACAACGACTAAACAGGCCAGATCTAAGAAGGTATCATTACACCATACTCTTTGCACGGTTTCGTGCCTCCAGGGGGGCCCACCAGAGCGAGGACGGTATTTTTATTATTATTATTATTATTATTTTTATTATTAATATTATTATGATTATTATTTTGATTCTTATTATTATTATTATCATTATTATCATTATTATTATTATTATTATTACTATTATTATTATATGCTTTCGCGCCCCTCCAACCCATCCACGGAGGCCCCGCCAGAGCGAGGAGGTTACCTCAACACCATACTATTCACACGTTTTCGTGCCCCTCCCACCTCTCCAGGGGGGCCCCGCTAGAGCGAGGAGGGTTTATAACGCCATGCTATTTATAGGGCCTCCTCCGCTCTGGGGAGGCCCCGCCAGAGCGCCAGTGAGGCCCTTGACACAGCCCAAAGAGGCCCCATACCCACAGAGGCACCACCACGCTGCCCACTCAGGCCCCATACGCACGCAGCCCACAGAGGCCCCCCAGCGCGCCCGCAGAGGTCCCGCCACACTGCCCACCGAGGCCCCTGACACAGCCCACTGAGGCTCCGAGTGTGCCCACAGAGGCCCTACCACACTGCCCACTGAGGCCCCGCTGTGACATCCTTGTGTGGGGAGCTCCGGTGGCATAAATTTGACAGGTTTAGGCGTTTTCGCCTTTTCGGCTTCCCCACGCTCCAAGACGGCCCAAGAGGCCCCGAAGATCGCCCCAAGACGGCCCAAGAGGCCCCAAAGACGGCCCCCAGGAAACCCCAACAGGTCCTCAAGAGGCTCCAGAGACCCCCAAGTGGCTCCCAAGGGCTCCAACACTGCCCACCAGAGGCCCCCGAGAGCGCTCCCTCAAAAAGC